TGACGTCATAACTGTACCATTGAACACTGCAGACTTTTCCATGGAAGTGGCTGTTCTATTCATTGAACTATCACACACGATGCATACACTTATCTGAACTAAAGGCCACATATGATAGCCTGCATTATGGTGTTTGCCTGCAAAGCTATGTCATTTATATCAATCATTAATGCCATATCAACACAGGTCAATGCTTAAATATTTCAAATGGAGCAATTAACACGAGCATACATAATACAGTTAGGATGGTTTAACTAAATGTTTAAATATTATCAAACTGTTATATATAGCACAGGTCAATGCTTAATTATTTCAAATGGAGCCTACATAATAATACATTTAAATATTAAATAATAAATTATAAGTACCGTACCGATGGTGATGCATCTGGCAATGGCGTTACACCAAGATCACAAATACTCTCACCCATGCTTTTCTGAGCTTCCAGAGAATCCTGCTTTGCAATATCTCTGGAAATTAAATATAACAGGATTGCGTTACAGATACAGAAAATTATTAATTTATAATATTATCAAAACGTAAATATTAACACATGTACAAATCTGCATATGAAATGATATACATCAGGCAAGTTCATTGAATTTATTACCTTTACTAACATTTCTTGTAAATGTATTAAGAAATCAATAAGAATCATATACAATTTCAGTCAACTGCAAACTTATTTTTTCACATGTATCAATTAAATGTTACATTAGTATGTACAATCAAATTAATCTAATTCCGTGATGAAACTAATAAATCATCAATCATTGCAAATAGTGTAAAATATACTTACAAACATGTCCCAAGCTTAAGCTTTGTGTGGACTTGATGTGGTGCGTTTTACCGTAAGGGGCTTTGTTTACCGCACCGCAATCCGGATTTTGGCAATTATCATACAAGTATCCACTCAATCCTTTCCTCAATTCTCCAACAATATTTAGAGATGTTAAAGGAATTGGCCCTAATTGGCACGATTGACATGAACTTAAATTGGACAGTAAAACGTCAAATTCAACAATCCTCCGGCCATCTTTCCACCCAGAAAGTTCTGCATGCTTACCTAGCTTTATATTGTTAAACAAATGACAGTCGTCATTTTCACAACTTCCCTCTCCTTTGCAGAAATGTCCACCGCTGTATTTATGATCTATAAGTACTTGCCATTTCTTGACAGGGCGTATTTTTGACGCGAGCCTCTTGAAGCGGCCGCTCAAATCACAAACAGCCGCCATTTGTTTACATTCGTTTCCTCAACGGGCGGTAACTCATGTCGAAATAACGTCGCGATTAGGGGAATTCCCAGATAACGAAATTTCCCGATGTCGTCCGATGTTTGCCGATAGTCATTTCTGTTGTGGTGGCGGGAGTTTTCGACTCCTGAATCCCTCTCTCCAACTACGGATTTATCTCTAGCCCATCTCTACTCGCCAAATGTTTGAGGAACAATACTTCATTTTAGACTGTGACGAGGTGGTAGGTTTTGGTTTAGTTTACGCTTTAAGTTAACTACAGAACTTGCTGAAGACTTTTTCAAGATGTCCCATGTGGTCATCAAATCCTTTAGTTGCCAATAGTAGATTTGTGTTTTGCTGTCGGAGAACTAAGTAAATCTGCTAGGAGAAACACTTACAACGTTATTTGTAAAATATCCACATGCCGGTGAAATCATGTCCTATAATAATAATAATAATATTCAACATTTGATATAGCGCCCTATCTAGCTAACATAAGCCACTCTAAAGCGCTTTACAGTACATAGATATACAATTAATACAATTAGCATATACATTAATTAATTCAATTTTGAGGAATTCGCAGGAGCTGCCTTATCAGGCGCTAACTACTAGTCCTATGCCACCTGGCTAATATCTCCCTATGTGTGTGTATGCCTGCGTGTGTGCTGGAGATGTATTGTGTTCTTTTTTGTAGTGGGACCGTGCTTCCAACGGCATCTTTTTTATAGTGCCACCTCACTTGAATGCTACAGAACAGATACCGCAACATCCACCACAGACCATTGTATACTCCACCTGGGTTGTTGGAGTTGTGTGGGCAGGAGAAAAACACTTTCTCTGATATTCCATGCGTACGACGACTTCGAGGATCGAACGGGGGCCGGCCGTCTGCGTGGAAGGCCGAAGTGTTAACCACTCGACCAATCCGCCTATAATCCGCCCTATGAAGCTATATAAAATGTGTATAGTTATATGTAAATAATACCGAGATGTTTCTTTCATACTACACGAGACTTGTAGATATTTGCTTGCTGTCTTAGAGGTGATGTGGGATGGTACGGTTGTTATATAAAACGTTTGTAGAAAAATACGTTTATTTCATGGATTATATCTTGTAACGAGAACAGAATCGTTATGGTCCGAAAGTTTGAAAAATTTGAGGGATTCTAGGTATTTTTAAAATAAAATGGGCCGAATACCATATACGGTGTTTAAACTTGGCCTTTTAACCATGTGACACGATTTTAAACCAGTTACAATAAAGAAGGTTTGATCACAGATTCCATGCTTGAGCACGAGAACGGTTTCATGAATACGGGCCCTGACGAGTGAAAACTGAACGTAACACCACCACGGTGATTGTACCTTTAGAATTTGGTATTAGATAGAGTTTGGTATTAGATAGAGTTTGGTATTAGATAGAATTTGCCAACAATGAATTACCCTGAATCCTACATCTGTTTCCTCCTTCTAGCACTCATCAGTGATGCTAGGCGCCGAAACGTTGGAAATCAAAATTGTCTAACTGTCTACTGTTGAAACAGAGGGGCAGACCCGTAAAACCCCTTAATGACGAATTCAAAACTTTAGAGGGATACTTGTAAATTTCAAAGTAAACAATACATGTATGTTAAGTGTGTATACTATGAACCATGCCACTGCGCAAAGGAGATAACTGTGGCCATCAAGGTTAAAGTAATCCTCGGGGACTAATAGAATCTTGCCCTACCTTGAGGGTGTGATAGAGAAATCTCCAACCCGAGGGGTTATGTTTTTTGGTTGTCTAACCCGAGGCTCTGCTCAGGTGACCTAAAAATGTAAATGTACATTTTCAATCTCTGGAGCTTTTTGCATACACCACATTTCACTTGCATAAACAAGAGGCCCAATGGGCCTGCATCGCTCACCTGTTATTAATCTCACACTAGTAATTTTTAACGTGGACTAAAATACAGCTACAGGCAGAATATCAGTGTTTGATTCATAAAACCAATTAAAAGATTTAAACATATGACGCCTGTGACCTTAAATGTCGAACAAGGACATTAGGTTGAAAGTGGGTCAAGGTCATTCATTTGAACAAACTAGGTAGACCTTCATCCCAGCATGCTACAGGCCCAATATCAGTACCATGGGCCTTTTGGTTATTGAGAAGTGATTTGAAGATTTTACGACATTTGACCCCTGTGACCTTGAAAGTGGGTCAAGGTAATTCATTTGAACAAACTAGGTAGCCCTTCATCCCAGTATGCTACAGGCCCAATATCAGTACCCTTGGCCTTTTGGTTATTGAGAATAAGTTGTATGAAGATTTTAAGACATTTGACCACTGTCACCTTGAGAGTTGGTCATGGTCATTCATTTGAACAAACTTGGTAGCCCTTCATCCAAGCATGCTACAGGCCCAATTTCAATACACTGGGCCTTTTGGTTTTTGAGAAGAAGTCGTTTGAAGATTTAACATATTTGACCCCTGTGAACTTGAAAGTAAGTCAAGGTAATACATGTGAACAAACTTGGTAGCCCTTCATCCCAGCATGATCCAGGCCCAATATCAGTACACTGTGCCTTTTGGTTAATGAGAAGAAGTTGTTTGAAGATTTTAAGGCAGTCGACCCCTGTGACCTTGAAAGTGGGTCAAGGTAATTTATTTGAATAAACTTGTTACCCTTCATCCCAGCATGCTACAGGCCCAATACCAGTACCCTGGGCATTCTGGTTATCCAGAAGAAGTCGTTTGAATATTTTACGACATTTGACCCCTGTGACCTTGAAAGTGGGTCAAGAGCATTCATTTTAACAAACATGGTAGCCCTTCATCCCAGCATGCTACTGGCCAAATATCATCAGCCTGGGCCTCTTGGTTATTCAGAAGAAGTTGTTTAAAGTAAAATATTGACGACGGACGGACGCCACACCACGGCATAAGCTCACTTGGCCCTTCGGGCCAGGTGAGCTAAAAAGGATACTGCTTACATATGTATCGAAAAGGTGTAGCATAGTTTTTACATTTAAGTTTAATGATGAACACTTTGAAAATGCAAACATAGCTTTTCGTCCTTGGATAGCTAATTATTTTTGGAAATAAGTGAATTTATTATTGTAATTTAGAATAACACCTAGGTAAGGAAATTGATTCACCCATTCGACTTTACTTTCTTTATAATACCATTTTTCATCATTATGTAATCTTCCACCTTTCTAAAAACTACAATTTTTGATTTTTTCCGTATTTACAGGTAAACTCCATTTTGTGGAGTATTCAAAAAGGCTATCAAGAAGGGTCTGCAGGCCCTGTACAGATTCCGAAAAAATAACCAAATCATCTGCGTACATTTACAGAAACAAACTTACCGAAGTCGTAATATGTTGCACCGTTTATAAACGTGTGTCTCCAAACAATGCACCGTCGCACTTCCGAAGCTTTTTTTTTTTTTTTTTCAGATTGCTTACATTTCTGTTTTGTAAAATAATAAAACAATTGTAGCCTTTAACTTCGGTCAATACCTGGATTTATCGACCCGAGAAAAGATATATTGACCTCGGACTGCGTCCTCGTTTAATATATCTTTTCTCGGGTCGATAAATCCAGGTATCGACCTCAGCCAAAGTCTATAATTGAATATTATCGTATACGTATACTATATAGTATGCGAGGAGAACCAGCAGGAGAGAACTGATATAGGAGTAGCCCGTTGTTCGATCCTATTCTTATACCATCATAATTAAAATGTGTTGAAATGAGAACTTCAAAAAATACAATGGTCAAGTGAATTTACTTCAATACATGTATAAGGTATATTTTCAAATTTGAGATAAAGTAAATAATAAATATGTCAATATTGGACAGTTAATTTCTTAATCATCATATTATTATAATGCATACATACTCAAATTTCTTTCATTTTGTTGCAGATTTGGAGAATTGCGATACTGTTATTGCAGATACACATGGCAACTCCTACATAAAAAAGACATCAGCATACCCCGGAAAATCTTATGATGGCAGTATCTGCTCTGTACATAGAGGACATGTAAAAAAGACAGAATCTAGGACATCAAAATTCAAGGACAACTTTCCTACACAAAGAAGAGTTTCAAAAGAATCTGTCTGCCCTGAAACGCAACACGGCCAATTTAAGGACGTGCCTCCATGTGTATAATGTATAGGTGTGTGAAAAATAAAACCTTGTGCGTCTTTAATAAGAAACAATAAAGATGAAATACTCAAAATATAACCAACAACAGTGTTTTACATAGTTTTTAAAAGATCAGCGTTGCTAGGCTGTGATTCGAACCATGGACTGTAGACCATAATGGACTCATCCATATCAATGCATGATGTTACATAGGGATGAGAAAGGGTTAAGGGGAGGTAACTGTATATAGGTAAAAACACCATTCATTGGGACAGGGATACTTAAACCAAGTACAGTATATATTCATCAAATATGTGGGGTGGGGGGGTGGGGGGTAAGTTGCGAAACTGTTTTGCGATTAAAAGTATCTTTCTAAGTTATTAAAACAAAATATTTCCATTTACACTGTTAACTGATTGGTGTAATTTATTATATAGAATTTATACAGATAGCAACGGTTGAATTCCTCACATAATTTCAAATACATGAATGTATTTGACATTAACAAAACTCTTGTTTAAAAACACACAACGTTTTCAATAGCTTTTTTTATACATTCATAATATTAATATTTCAATATAAATTTGATTAGAAATATTTTCAATGTAGAGCTATATACTGTAATTCATTTTTGGACGATGATTCATTATTTTGCATAAAAATCGCAAAAGTTTTCACACACTTGGGTATAAAATTGTTCCTTTTACAGTGACCAGTCCATTTTGTCTCGTTTGTTCATTAATAGTGCTGCATCAGCCATTGAGAAACACTTACAGTTCTCAAATTTCTTATATGACAAAGGTGAAGGATGAGCAGTTTTGATTATGGAGTGTTTTGTTTCGTCAATTAAACTCTCCTTTTTATGTGCAAAGTTGCCCATGAGAATAAAGACGACACCAGAGCAATTCTCACTTATAATTTGGATGACTCTGTTTGTAAATTTCTGCCAGCCATACTTGGCATGAGAGTTCGACTGGTGGGCTCTGAAAATACAGAGAAAAGAAAAACCATGGTTTATAATAGGTAATTCTGGATAAGTTAAAAAAATATAATTTACTTTTTTAATAAATTCTTCTGAACTATTATCGTAGGATTAATATTTTTTTTCCATTTTGCTTACATTTATGTTATAAAATAATATGATATAAAGTAAGGAAAAACTCAATTTGAGCCCATGTTGAGAGAAAATGAGGCCTAAATAACGTAATTATAACTGAACCTTGAATACTTATATTATGAAATTAAGTAATACAGAGGTCATTTTTTGTTTTGATTTTCATTGACAATTACAATTCAGCATATCCACCAGTGTTCCTACAAACACGTTCTGAAATATATCTGTACAATATGTATTGCTTTACCTAACATGGTGTCATCATCATTATTATTATTATCAATGATCAGCTATGTGTGTGACTCGAGACCTCTTGTTTACCGAAAAAGCTATTCTCCTTGTCAAGTTGGTAGGAAGTAGAAACTATTACTAAAATTCTGAGCAATAATGTTCAATCTCCTGGCTTCATCCACCTTGCCACATCCCTGCAGTTCGGAGATTGAGGAAATGCATACACCTGCTGTTACCCACTGCATACTGTAGGAGCCACTTAATCTGCAGATTGTGAGGATTTGCTACCTGTCCTTTACGTTTGGGACACAAAATGACCAAAATAAACTGGTGTATCAATTGCAACCTATTTGATCTCTATATTTTCTCTCTGTTTCCTAACAACCTTAATAGTCCTTGCACCCTTTTTGGCAATATCTCCCTTTCGGCTTTAGCATAGAATGTTCCCCAATGTAGGCAATAGGTTCTATTTGCAGGCTGGGACATACCAGCATCCTTTGGTAGTTTAAACTGTATTCCCTGCTCAACATTAAGCATTTGGCAATGGCAACAACTTTATAACCTGTTGCCAGTATAATGTTACCAGGTAGATAACGTCCACGCATAATGCTATATCATTCACCTTTGAAGGAGGTATTGTCAATGTATGTTGCATGTTCTTACTTACGCGGTTGTAAGTGTAGCATTGAGTAGAAACACTCCCCTCTTCGCCCAAGCTTCCAAATTACCATGAGAAGGGGTTGTGAAGTTCTTGATTTTGTCATCATTGGTTATCTCTTTATATATGTTTTTCAATGAACGTGGTGGTTTCACTCCCGGGGGTACAGAAAATGCCATTCCCATGGCCTGAAAAAATAACATGCAAAGAAACATTCGCAACGCAAAAAACATTAATAGAGTTTGCTCAAACGAATTTCCGTGTGGAAAAAATGAACACAAGACAAAACAATTGGTGACTGGACAGAATTCGGTATTAGATACAGCATGCCAAAAGTGATTAGTAGTGCTCTATGACGAATATGAAATGAAAGATAAATAAGAGGCCCAATGGGCCTGAATCGCTCAACTGGTGATAATCTCACACTTGTAATCTTAAAAGTGGACTAAAATACAGCTTCAGTTGTACAGATTGTATTGTCTTCCAACCCAGCATACTTCTGGTAAATTAGCATTCACCCTGGACCTTTTGGTCATACAGAACAAGTCATTTAAAGTTTTAAACATTATTGACCACTGTGACCTTGCATATGGGCAAATGTCATTCATTTGAACAAACTTGGTAGTCCTTCATCCCAGCATGTTAATGGCCAACTATCATCCTAGGTTTTTGGGTTATTGAGAAGAAGTTGTTTAAAGGGTTTTAACATATTTGACTCCTGTGACATTAAATATATGTCAAGGTCATTCGTTTGAACAAACTTGGTAGCCCTTTATCCCAGCATGCTACTGGCCAAAATGCATCATCCTAGGCATCTTGGTTATTCAGAAGAAGTTGTTTAAAGGCTTTAAAAAAAATTGATCCATGTGACCTTGAATATAAGTCAAGGTCATTTATTTGAACAAACTTGGTAGCCCTTCATCCCAGCATGTTACTGGCCAAATATCATCACCCTAGGCCTTTTGGTTACTGAGAAGAAGTTGTTTAGAGTAAATAGTTGACGCCGGACGCCGGACGGACGCCGGACAGACGCCGGACGCTGCACCATGCCATATTAGCTCACTTTGACCTTCGGGCCAGGTGAGCTAAAAATTAAGAGTGAGCAACAAAAACAAAATAGCATATGCTCGGAGGCATTTGAACTCCAGCAAACTGTGCAGATTAAGGATACCAACACTAGACCTCATAGACACTTTGGGAAGAAACTGTGAAATCACATTTTTTGTCAGGTTTTTGATTGCATGGGTAATCTTCATACATGTATTCATAGGTCAATGAATAACTTGCAAATTTTATCATAGGTCAATGAATAACTTGCAAATTTTATATAAAGGAATTCTCCATTTGAGTGGTTACTCGTAATCCACAGATTCAAGTAACCACAAAATGGTGTTTTTAGGGAAACCACTAAATTTGGGACCGACAAAAATATGTGATTTTACAGTATGATCTATACCTATACATATAAAGAAAAAATAAGATTTAACGACCGACTCAAAAAACTAGTTGCTTTCACCATTCACAGGGCTCTTCATGTATACTATCCTTGATATCCAGGGGTTACGCTCACTTTCGCTCTGGAATATGTCATAGCAAAAATGAAGGCACGCGGCTAGCTAGCTATTCGATTGGTGTCAGGTAAAAAAAACTGACCAATCACAGTAGTCTGATACTTGTCCTTTGAAGATTACAAAGGCGCGACGTCCGACTTCAAAGCCTATAATTTTTTACCGTTACGCGACCGCAAGATTCTTTTGATGTACATCAAAGGACCAAACTAGTCTTCTCGTCTCATCCACAAGGTGCTGCACACTGAGCCTTCAATTTTGCTATGACATATTCCAGGGGTGTAGAGGAGAGCAAAAGTGGGCATAACCACTGGATATCAAGGATCGGGTAAACATATATATAGCTATGACATCATGAAATTGACTGTTCAATTTTCTGAGTATGGTTAATACTCCTATTGGCAAGATCAGTTTAAATGAGTGGCCATTTCCACAAACTTTAAAAGAAACACAGCTGATCAAAAATCAGATAAAACTCTTACTGATATTTCTAATAATGTCTTGAAAAGTACCGTTTAAAGTGTAATATCATCTTGGACAAGTCATTCAAATTGATAATTGTTGGAATGAATACTTCACTAATGACTATACACCTAAACAGATTCAACAAAAGTGGTGCACTCACAAATAATATCTTCTAATCAAGGATTTAATTAAAATTGTTTCATTCAAATTAAAGATTAGTTCAAAAGGACTTGTATCGAATTGGCTAAATAATGTTTATACTTCTATGAAATACTATTGGCAAGTACAAAAACATTACAGAAATAAATAAAAAAACAGTTATAAGGATACTAAAAACCATTGACCATGGTTCACATTTTCAAACAAACATTTCAAAAATGTACATTTATCTATGATTTGTAACATTCAAAATAAACATCTACATAAGCGATTGTAAAGTTTTACTTTCTACACAAACAATGTACGTACTAAATGTGTCGCAACTATTCAAGACCTACTGGTCCCTTTGTCAAGTCGGTCTTGAAATGTTGTGACACGTTCAATACTCATTGTTTGTGTAGAAAGTAAAACTTTGATATCGCATATTTCCAAACTGATGAATCTTATTGAACATCTACATAAGCATTACATGATTTAGCTTCAGTATAATTATTGTACATATTATCAAGCTTTGAAAATTGGCTGGTATAGTATCCGTACCTGTCCGTCGTTATGGTACGGATCCTGTCCCAGAATTACAACTTTCACCTGTAAGGCAATGAGTATCATTAGTGACCTTGAGAGAGCGATTATTGAAGTACTACCTTACTAATAACACGCTTGATGTATTGACATTTTTGTACCATAACAGATAGCAGTATGTACTTGTAATGCAGGCTTGAACAGAGTTGCGACTTGCGTGAAAGGATTTATATTGCAAACATTTTGAAAACTAGATATTTGTTACTTGAACAAAAACATCTCTCCCCTAATTTGCTAATTGAGAAACTGCTTCCTTCAATAATAAAATACATATTAAAATAAATGCAATTAAAAAAATATGACATGGAAAGTCGCAGTACCCTGAAGACAATTTTGGCTTTTGACATTGATGTCAAGGTCATAGGATTGTAATGACAGTGCACTGCACAATGTTGTGGGTGATGCATGTATACTGCAAGTCTCATAAAAATATTGTAAATCATTTAAAAATTAGAACTGTCTGCATAAATCTGATACTGATATCTATTAATGAGATGCATGTTCAGATGAAAACATTTGGTTCAAGCAGAGACACTTAACAAGAAAATCAACTAAATTTCCAGAATTCAAAAACAATGAAAAATTCTCAAAATTCAATACAAGAGGCCCAATGGGCCTGCATTGCTCACCTGGTATTAATCTCACACTAGTAATCTTGGACCAAAATACAGCTACAGACATATAAGTACCCTGGGCCGTTTGGTTATTGAGAAGAAGTCGTTTTTAAAGATTTTAACATATTTGACCCCTGTGACCTAGAAAGTGGGTCAGTGTCATTCATTTGAACAAACTTGGTAGAGCTTCATCCTAGCATGTTACTGGCCAAATATCATTATCCTGGGCCTTCTGGTTATTTAGAAGAAGTTGTTTCAAGATTTTAACATATTTTACCCCTGTGACCTTGGAAATGTGCAAAGGCCATTCATTTGAACAAACTTGGTAGCCCTTCAACCCAGTACACTACTGGCCAAATATCATCAGCCTGGGCCTCTTGGTTATACAGAAGAAGTTGTTTAAAGTAAAAAGTTGACGCCGGACGGAAGACGAACGACGGACGGACGAGGGACGCCGCTCGGGCCAAGTGACCTAAAATATTTGGGGAGGGGAATTTTCTTCCTGGTCGGTCAGGTTGAGGCAGACGATCTCTGTTATTCTTAGATTTGAGGTGATGTATAGATCTGGCTTCTCAACAGTTGCTTAAAGAATGATAAGCGTTCACCAGTGGTTAGGGACATTTTTAAAATTTAAATGTACAACAAAATAAAGAACATCTGACATCATTAAATTGCTATAACTTTGTTTAGACAGATCAGACAGATGTGTTTTGAGGATTTATTTTGCCTTGAAAGCACATGTTTCTTATTGGCATTTTTATTTTTCACCAACCACTGGTTATAAAGTAATTAAACAACCTTAAAGTAACTGGGTCTGGTTTATAACTTAATCGAACTTTCCTAAACTACTCCTGACCCTAACCTGAACAAGCATTTTGGGTAGCCCAGAAGCCAGGCTAGCAATGTTGTTTTTTTTACTTTCAAACTGAGATTTCAGGATTCATGGTCGAACGGATACTGTTACAAGTTTTGGAAAAAGGCATATCATATAATTAACTTAATACAATCTTTCATCTGTGTGTTCTGTCACCTACATACTTCCTTAACTCATTCACGCCTGAAATTTTATAATGAACTATTCCAACCTTTGAACTAGAGGAGTTCAAATGTGTCTTCAGGGGGGGTTGATTAAATATTAAGGGATGAAATAGCGCCTGAATTGACGACTGGTACAAATATTTATTACCTGAGGCAACACTAAGAATTAATCAAAGTATCCTCAACAGAAGGCAATACTGGATTCAGTGCATAACATAACTTTAAATATTCCCTTTTAAATAATGATGTATATAACAATAGTATGTTGTCATCTGGTAATCAGTTGACAGTAATCTGGTGATAACTTATGCTGTAGTAAAGGGAGACTACTCTAAGTTTCAGTGTATGGTAAGGAATGGGAACTATAACTTCACACTACAATTGTTCATATCCATTCAATATCCAAGATTGTATCATGTGTTGCACTATTTAGTACTTATCTTTGAGAGCTGATGATATCAATACTTCAATGTTGAAGGATAAAATAGAGCTTGATACACATTAATAAAATAAATCTCAGTTTAAACACTACCAGGGTTCTTTGACCTATGCTCCTGTCCATATTTGAATGAAAGGGACCACAATACATTCTGGGTTATATTGTACTCTCAGTTATGGTGTCCTCAACAGGAGGCAAAAATAGTTTCAGTACAACTTATGATAATGAAATAAACTTATAAAATAAGAAAACAATGTAATAGTATTATTGACATCACATGTGTGTATTAATTCAGTGAATCTTAGTACAGGTAAGGGGAGGCTACTTTTACACGACAAAACAGTTGCAAAAATTGCAAGGAGTGGGCATTTTCACAAAACTTTTCAGAAAGTTGTCCAATTGAATACAAGATTTTATCACAAGCTTTATTATTACATGTTAATGTATAACAAAGTGGGGATTATCTGGAATACTTTCCTTGAATTAGGAAAAAGTTTGGCATTTAATCAGGATGTTTTAAAATCTTATATCAATATCCATTGTTTCTTTTAAAATGATGAGGTATTTTAATTCTTATTCTTGAAATGATGAAGGTATCGGAATGCTTATTGTTATGATGAAGGTGTCTTAATGCTTATTGTTGAAATAGTGAAGGTATCTGAATGCTTATTGTTGAAATGATGGAGGTATATCATGGCTTATTGTTATAATGAAGGGATATTAATGATATATTGTGAAATGATGAAGGTATCTGAATGCTTATTGTTACAATGATGAAGGTATCTTAATGTCTATTGTTATGATGAAGGTGTCTTAATGGTTATTGCCGAAATGATGAAAGTATTTTAATGTTTATCTGATGTTCTTGATTGGCATACTTATAATCGGTGTTTTTCCACATACCTTGTCAAACGGCGTTACGTTAAATGCATGAAAGATGCGGTCCTTAGGTGGGAAAACCTGTGTTTTGTTCGCATAATCACCCGCAAGCTTTGACTCAATACCCTTAAAGTAGTCTTTGGTAAATTCCGTCTTGAGCTCACGTCTCCAGCTTTCTTCTGTGATGAAAGAGGACAGGTCTAAGCTACCTGCAGCAGCTCCATCAGAACCTAACAATGGAATAATGAAGTCACAAACTTACAAATTACAATCACATATTGGTGGGAATATTGTTTTTAACTAAGTTCAACCAATTCCAAAATGTGTTATATTTTCTTATTGATTAGGTATATAAAATTATTAACAGATATTTCTTATCACTTAATTATGTTTTCCTTTTTTATCGGGGTTAATGTACAGGCAAACATCCAGGGTCATATGAAGACAGGTGCATACTTCGGGGCAATGGGGGCAGCAAATCAATTTATCCAATGTCCACTTTGCAGAAGACATGTAAGAAAACCTGACTTTAGGGGGTGGGCACATCAATCACCTGTAGCGATACACTAGCCCGAGTTTCTCCTGGCCCTGACACCAGACTTAGACATTTTGACAGATAAATGTCTAATGTGGACATCTATCTGTCAAAATGTCTAAGTCTCGTGATAGGCCAGAGGAAACACGGGCTCAGCAATAAAATTGCAGTTAGGATACATCAGGGGTTATCCTAGATTTCCCCAGGACCGAGAAGATACCACCTCGATTCTACATCTTTTTAGAACTTAGTGGTATCAGTTTATACAATTTACATTTGATATATATAGACAGACACAGAAACAGGGCAAGCAATGACTTTGTTCAACGATGATAACAAGATTAGGAAGCTGTAATTTTAAAATTAAGGAAGTGATTGCTCATAGACCGTTCAGGTAAATCAAAGACTTTGAACCATTTGTTGATAAACAATGTAAATCGCATTAGTGTTTAATTTTGCTCTTATTTTGTTTATTCAGCAATTTTCATCTTTGGAGCTTATAAACTGCTCAACCGATGCTTCAGCTAAAAGATGTAGATTTGGTATCAGTTATTTAAGGTTCAACAAGCCCCCTAATAGATTTAATAGTCACCTAAATTTCAACACCCTGGCAAGTCATAATCAAAAACTCTTATCAAATATCGGAATATATACATGTAATTTAAATATTGAACGTGTACATGAGCTATTAAAAAGGTACATAACCTGCTGCAGGTTAACGAAGTCAAAATACAGCATTAAGTATGATGTAATGATAAAAGTTGCTCACCAGATTTATAACATGTCAGTCTCTCAAAAGACCCAACTGAATGTTACAAAATGACGTGCTATTTGAAGATGATTTATATACCTACAATGTTGGTCATGCAGGTCTTTATTTCTTTTTATTACATACTTACTAATAAATACGGGTTGTTTTGTATATGCGATACGACACAATTGCCCTTACCCATATCAGCCCTCGCCGTATCACACCCCAAAAGCCGTATCAGCCCCCGCCGTATCACACCCCAAAACCTGTATCAGCCCGCAAAACCCGTATCACACCCCTTTTGGATTTTTTTCGTTTTTCAATATTTCAAAAGAAAAATAGATCATAAGAAAGTAGCTTTTATTAGTAAGTATGTAATAAACAGAATAAAACCCTTGGGCTGATATTGCAGTCTCGGGTTGATACTAGGTGTGATATGGAAAAAGGCATGTATTATTCTCTATGTAACTATGTGTGGAGAGGTATACAGACCTCACAAGAAGATGATGGTTGATATGGGAAAGTACAATATTCATAGTAAAACGTCTGAATAACATATTTTACCGGTATATATACATGTGTAAAACCAAAGACCTTTGACCATAAACACCACTTAAGCTTCATATAAAATGTACTTCCTTAACATTCAATGTTGTTATAAAAGAGTTAGACTTGTTACAAACACTGTCTACCTTTCAGCTTCAATATTTATAAGGCCAAATAAAAATATATTTGTGTTTCCTGTTTCGGCTCCAAAAAAAAATGGGTAGGTAGGAAGGAAAAACATTTCATTTTTTTTTTTTCTGGTCAAGAAAATGTCCTGATTACCTCCAACAACCATGAATGTTGAAAATATGATATTGTTTTAATAAAGTATGAATGGCACTAAATATGTAATTTTTATTCATGTAAAATAAATACACACATATATTTTACCTACATAAATTTTAATGGAATAACTAACGTAATTTCAAGGTTATTGGTGTTTTCAATTTGTTCAAATTAATCTAACAACAAAATCAGTACATTAATTTATATTAACATTTTATTTACAACTCAATATTTCTCTCCACTTCAAACTCGTTCCAACTACAAACTGTAAAATTCCACAGATTTTAACTCTCCTCTATATCTCTAGACCTCTCATGTCAGTCTCCCTAACTCAACCTCCTTCCTCAAGACTCCTTAACTCAACTCCCCAACCGTACTCTCATCTCCTCCTTTGACTCTTGCTAATGAAGCTGAACTACCCTACTATCTGTCCTTAAGCAAAATCCTGGTTGATAACATTGAAATTGTTGATGCTGCTGAAATCCTGCTAAAATTTGACCCCTACAGGAATAGATTAAACTGGCCATAAATTCTGCTAAATTTGACCCGGCCGTGACAGCATCAGCTGGAGGAACAAACACTGACAGATTGGACACCCCCACCTAGACTACAGATGGTCACACTAATCTACAGATCCCAACCGATATCACTAAAGCACAATTAGCTAAGGCTACTTGGCTTCAAATATTGTATACATAAAATGCCTAGCAAATCATATGAACACTTTGAAGAATTAAACAGCTAACAGTGAAAAACCAATAAAATGTTTTAGAGTCAGCATGAAAAAATAGTGTCGATGGGGAGACCGGAAACACAGCTATATATTGATTTGCCCTAACATGTCTAGCGCATTCATATAATCACAGGATGTTATCAAATGGCACATCATCTAAATTTAATTCATCTATCAAACAAGGTTACTTAGCCTTTGTTTTCTGATTTATAATTTGCTAAAAAAGTATTACCAGGGTGTTTTAATATGATTTTAGTGGTTTCGCATGGCAACATCTATTTTTATTTTAGGTTGGAATTCCTCTCAACAGCTAGTAGAGAGAAACAAGAGACCCAATGGGCCTGAATCGCTCACCTGGTATTAATCTCACACATGTAATCTCAAAAGTGGACCAAAATACAACTACAGGCAGAATATCAGTGTTTGATTAATAAGGACCTATTAAAAGATTTAAACATAGGACGCCCGTGACCTTGAATCTAACAAGAACATTAGTTTGATCAGAGTTTATAGTCTTCCAACCCAGCATGCTTCTAGAAAAATATCATCACCTTCGATTTTTGGTTATACAGAACAAATCATTTAAAGATTTAAACATATATTGACCACTGTGACCGTGAATATGGGCGAAGGTTATTCATTTGAACAAACTTGTTAGCCCTTTATCCCAGCATGTTACTGGCCAAATATCATTATCTAAGGCCTCTTGGTTATTCAGAAGAAGTTGTTTAAAAGGTTTAAACATTATTGACCCCTGTGACCTTGAATATAAGTCAAGGTCATTTATTTGAACAAACTTGGTAGCCCTTAATTTCAGCATGTTACTGGCCTAATATCATCACCCTAGACCTCTTGGTTATTCAGAAGAAGTTGTTTAAATATTTTAGACAATTGACCCGTGTGACCTTGAATATAAGTCAAGGTCATTTAATTAAACAAACTTGGTAGCCCTTCACCCAGCATGTTCCTAGCCAAATATCATCACCCTAAGCCTCTTGGTTATTTAGGAGAAGTTATTGAAAGATTTTTAACATATTTGACCCCTGTGACCTTGAAAATAAATTAAGGTCATTCATTTGAACAAAGTTTGTACCCTTCAACCCAGCATGCTACTGGCCAAATATCATCACCCTATGCCTCTCAGTTATCCAGAAGAAGTTGTTAAAATATTTTAGACAATTGACCCGTGTGACCTTGAATATAAGTCAAGGTCATTCATTTGAACAAACTTTGTAGCCATTCATGCCAACATCCTTCTGGCCATATAACATCACCGTGGACATTTTGGTTATAGAGAAGAAGTCGTTTAAAGGTTTTTAAACAATTGAACCCTATGACCTTGAATATGGGCGTAGGTCATTCATTTGAATAAACTTGGAAGCCCTTCATCCCTGCATTCTACTGACCAAATATCATCACCCTGAAGCTTTTGGTTATTCAGAAGAAGTTTTTTTTAAATATTTCAACATATTTGACCCTTGTGACCATGAATATGTGCGAAGGTAATTCATTTTAACAAACTTGTTAGCCCTTTATCCCTGCATGCTACTGGCCAAATAACAAAACCATAGGCCTCTTCCTTATTTAGAAAAAGTTGTTTAAAAGTTTAAAAATATTTGACCTCCCTGTGACCTTGAATATAGGCGAAGGTCATTCATTTGAACAAACTTGGTAGTGCTTCATCCCAGCATGTTATTGACCATATATCATCATCCTGGGCCTTCTGGTTATTCAGAAGAAGTTGTTTAAAATAAAAAGTTGACGAACGCTGCATCATGGCATAAGCTCACTTAGCGCTTCGAGCCAGGTGAGCTAAAAACAAGTCAAAGTATTGCAAGGCAATTCACAGTCTTTCATCGGTAATGATTTACATATTAACCAAACAGTACACTTATGTCAGGAAGCATACATATGTAGGTCACAGTGAGGTCATAGTGACCTACTTCTTTCACTCTCTCGTCCCAAGATGTCCTTGTACACCAAATCTAGTAACTCCAGGCGAAATCGTATAGAAAATATGCCCAGACAAACTTTTTCAAAAGTGAAGGTCAAAGGTCAAGTCATAGGTCACCGTGACCTAATTCTTGCACTGTGCACTCCGCCATCCCAAGATGTCCTTGTTCACCAAATCTGGTTACTACAGGTGAAATAGTATAGAAGATATGTCCCGGACAAACTCGGACGGAAGGACAGACAAAGTGCAAACCTGTAGTCCCCCCCCCCCCTGGACCCGGTGGGGGACTAATAAAGAAGAGGGTAGTAAACCAAATACAAAAACAAGTTCATCAGCTTTGTAAAATAAAGAGATTTACATTACATCTGAATTAGTACACTAGAAAATATCTTTAAGACATGAAAGCCCCTGATGCCAGTTTCTGTGTTTGATAATGTCTATAAATAGTTACAACAACTATGGTCTTGACACCCTGAAATATGTATGTATATTCAAGGTATTATCATATATTTCATGTTGATAAATGGAACAAGAGGCCCAAGGGCCTTAGCCGTCACCTGAGTAATGTCATAGGTACTGGTAGCTCAATTTTATTGTTGAGATGTGAAGTGGAAATCAGCATGTAAACTAAGTGAGATACAATACTTGTCCTGTCATCAAAGGATAAGATATTATAATATATTGGTAAATTTTCCTTTTGGGGCCCCGCCATAGCCCCTGGGGATGGGGCAGGAATCCCAATTGTACAGTGTAGTACCCTCATCTACCAAAGATGAATCTGACTAAGTTTGAACAATTTCCTAGAGAAAATTGTCAAAATATACACAAAAGTGTTATTTCCCTATATAAACTTTAGTAAACTTTACCCCCTCCCCAAGGGAGAAAAGATGGATCGGGGGTCCTGAAATTTACAATTTAAACAAAGCCCCTGATATTCTTTCCATCCATGCAGGAAAAATGACTGTATTACCTCGGAGTTTAGAGAAAAAGGTTTTGAAATATTGGTTAATTTTCCCTTTGCGGCCATGCCCTTGCCCCAGGGGTTGGGGTAGGAATCCCAATTTTACAATTTTGTAGCCTTATCTACCAAGGATGATTCTGACCAAGTTTAAAAAAAATCCATCCACTGGTTCTAGAGGAGAAGTTGAAAATGTAAAAAGTTGACCCACGACGGACGACGCATGACGACGAAGGGAAAGCGATTAGAATAGGTTAGTTGAGCAAAGCTCAGGTGCTGTAAAAATACAGAATAAAGAATTCCATGAGTAACAAGATGCAGTGACCTTTGAAACAGGAACTCATCCGAGGCATTCTCATACTTGAAATCTGTATAAACTTTGGATTAAAATCTGTTAAGCTAGGGTGATGACACTGATTCGTTTATGACTTTCTATATATAACAACAGTGACCTTGGCCTTTGAAACCTGAAACACAAAGATGTTTGACCTTTGTATAAATTTTGATCAATTTCCATCAGTAAATTACAATTGTTGGTTGACTGATGACACTGATTTGGCTGATGATTTCTATATATAGCAATGATGACCTTGGCCTTGACTTTGGAATCCTGAATTCTTATACATTCTGTACTTGAAATCTGTATAACCCCCCACCCCCAGATTAATTCAATTAATCGTTTATATTCTCAATATCATCTCTAAATAATCATCACAACAGCGTGGATAGTCTTCTGTTTATTAAGTATACAGACTCACATTTAAAGTAATACACGTACTCACATAGGTCAAGTACATTTTGATAAAACATTGTTCCAAATTTAAAGTAAACAAGCAAATTCGTGGAATTTGTATCCCTCGCTTGCAGGACATATTGAGTGTAAACATTACTGAGGTTAGGTTTAAACATGTGAGTATCGTGCTGTTGAGACATAATGTATAGCTTGAAACTTGAAGAAAAAAAAATCCCTATACAGAAGTTAGACTTTTTATTGAACATGTAGGTATTACGATTTAAATTAATTGTTTAATCCATCAGAATTGTCTAAACTCATTAATTATCCTTAAATATGCACAAATCACATAGCATGAGATAGAGGAACACAAACATTGTTACAGTATCAAGTTTGAAGTAATATGGCTAATATTTGCTATAGTTACTATGCGGAAACTGCAGATAATGACGTTTTTCGTTAATCAAGGGGTCATAACTCCGCCAAATTTAGTGCGATTAGAGCTGTTGTCAAACTTGGCTGAGCCCTTAATAGTTTAAATGTACACCTCATCCTCGGGTTTCATGAAATCTACTAAACAAGAATAATATTTTCCGTTTTCAGTCCAGATCAGTACGGTTTGTTGATTAGTCACCCCGATGACAACATTTATCTTTCTGTCAAAATGTTGAAGTCTGGTGTCAGGGCCAGAGGAAACTCGGCTCTATATTTATAAACAATTTTACAGTTTATATGTACATCTCATCCTCGGCTTTCGTTGTTCAGTATGATATAATGGAAACTGTATAATGTCTGGTTTTGGTGAGTGACGTTAATTACAGATAATGCAGACTTTTATAATTATAAACAATTAAATAGTTTATATGTACACCTCATCCTTGGCTTTCTTTGTTCAGTATGATATAATGGAAACTGTATGTCTGGTTTTGGTTAGTTTAAACATATTTTTATTGCAATATAATTACAAAAGGATTGGGCACAAGTTATTGCAACTTATAAACACCCTTTCCATAATGGTTTACAACATACATGTATAAATATAATGCAATTTCTTATAATACATAAATTGAGAGAGAGAGAGAGAGAGAGAGAGAGAGAGAGATTTTAGTCTGACTCATTTCATGATTAAAACTATAGATTAAGATAACAAACTTATAACAATGTTATATAACAAACTTATCAAGCTTATAACAATGTTGACACAGTTGGACTATAAACACATTCATTACGCACTACAAACCATCTGGTTTTGGTGAGTAACGTACGTTAACTACAGATAATTCAGACTTCTATAATTATACACATCTATGTGAATTAACATTACTTTATGGTTGGAGATTGATAATACTTCTTTGTTTGTCTGTATATTATCTAAACATATATCACACCCACATGTATTATCTAAACATAAAACTGTACCTACACATGTGTGGTCTTTATACTAGGAAATGTCTATCAGACATGAATACTTCCTTGCCCCTGTGGTTTACCGATAAATACTAACAGTGACATCCTTGGCATTGACCTTGGGATCTATAAGTACGTACTCATCAAAGATATTCTCAAATTTCATCTTTTTATAAAATCTGTTAAGAAATGAAGTCTGTATAGCCGTAATGTATGGATATTAAATGTTACTGAACACAACAAACCTGTGGACTGTTGTGGTCCTACACCTTCGTCAGTCCTCTGTCGTTTGGCTTGTGGTTGTCCTGTAAGTAACAGAACAATGATGTGATGCAATCAACATAGTTGGAAGATCCTATAACTAAATGAACAATTTATAATCATAGGTGGACGATCTACCTTGAAACATCCTATATAGTTCTTTATAAAAGAATTAACAGCTTTTGTACACATGTATCACCTACACATATAACACCTACACCTCTATCACTTACACATGTATCACCTACACATGTATCACCTACACATATAACACCTACACATGTATCACCTACACATATTACACCTACACATGTATCACCTACACATGTATCACTTACACATGTATCACCTACACATGTAACACCTACACATGTATCATCTACACCTCTATCACTTACACATATATCACCTACACCTCTATCACTTACACATGTATCACCTACACATATAACACCTACACCTCTATCACTTACACATGTATCACTTACACATGTATCACCTACACATGTATCACCTACACATATAACACCTACACATGTTTCACCTACACATGTATCACTTACACATGTAACACCTACACATGTATCACCTACACATGTATCACTTACACATGTATCACCTACACATATGTAATAGGAACAGTGACCTTGACATTGACCTTGGGATTCTCTGATACAAATTATCTGAGATTTTCTTATACATGACCTTTGCATAATCTTTTGAGGAAAATCTGGAAAGAAAGGAAGATCACAGAGCCATGACAATAAATCACGATGCAAAGGGACGGCACAAACAAGTTCCCCTCAAAATGGTGGGGGCATGGAAAGTACTTAACATAACAAACCTGGGGAGTGTCGCTTGCTTTGATTGTACACAGTTCTCTGTCGTTTGGCTTGTGGTTTATTTGTGTGTTTTAATTAGATATGGACCAAGTTCTAATCTGTGACAGAGGTATAGCTCGATCATGTTAAGCCCCACTCACCATACTTAAAAAGCCACACAACAAAAAAACAAGAAGCCCAGAAGGCCTGTATCGCTCATTTGGATATCTCAGTAATCCTGTAAAAATGTTCTAAATGAAGTAATTTTGCAAATATTTCCACAAATTGAGTCTCCTTGGCTTGAGAAAGTTCCAGACTAAATTATTGAGATCACTTTACCTGTACTGAAGAAAGGAATTTGAAGATTTTCTCTCATTACCTCTTTTGAGCCCTATCCTTTTGCATTTTAGGCAGCCAGACCTCCATTTACACATCGCTGAATCCTTCTTAGGATAAGTTATACTAAATTAAGTCAAGTAGGTCAAGGCTGTTTCTTTGATGGCACTTTTCATTATTAGGATGAAGTTGTTAAAAGATTTTAACACATTTGATCCATTTGACCTTTTAAGTAGTTCAAGGTCATTTACTGGAGTAAACATTATTCTATTCTGTCCTAGTATGCTTCTGTATAGTAGGTCAAGGTCATTTATTTTATACTTCATAATATCTCTTTTTACAATATAGATTTTTATAAATTCAAACCATTTTCAATTATCACGTAAATGACCCATTTTATTTTGTCCTACCGCCATATGGTGAATATGGTATTACACATGTGTAATAAGACCTAAAGGTACTGCAATTGATAAAAAAAAACATGGGAACATATTCTTACGCCACTACAGGAACTACTTTTATTTACTACATGTATACTGTAGTATAAGATGGCTGACCAGATAAACATTACTACTTTGTACTGCACAGAGCAATAATACTGTGATGGAAGTACTTTGGTTCTAACCTAAATTGAGTCAGCTTATTACACATCACGTGTTTGATATTTTTTTTCAATTTATAAATATTATGTGAAATAACAAGAGGCAACTGTTTCTTTTGTTACATGAAACTGACATAGAGGTAACTTTAGACCAAATTTGGTAACTAGAACTCAAGACATTTTAACATCTCTTAAATTGTTCTTAGGATATTGTTGTTTGGAATTTGATTTTTTTTTTAAGCTTTAACCCATGTTGACTTTTGACTCCGGCTAGCACTGAAGAATGACCTTTGACCTCATTACTGAAATAAAGAAAATAATTCACACAGCCAGTCTACATAACATACCCAGGTATCATGACTCTAGACCAAATGGTTCTTAAGATATTGTTGTTTGAAGTTTTTAATATATTTGACCCCATATGACCTTAAAAGTAGGTCAATGTCATTTTAATGAGGACACTTTATAGCACTTTGGTACCTACATGTAGCTACTGGCCAAATATCATGACCCAGGCCTTATGGAACTTGAGAGGAAGATTGTTAAAGGTTTTTACCTATATTGACCTTTGACCCCAACTAGCACTTAAATGTTGAACTTTGCCCTCATTACCATGCTGAAGAAGGATTCCTCTAGTACTTTGATCTACTTATGAGCCATCTTGGTTATTTATCAGTCCCAAAAAGCGCTAAGAAATGTTTACATTGGGAACCTACATGTTAGATTTGAGAAATATCCCTCTAGTTTCTCTATCTGAGAAATAGCACTAACAAGAATTGTTAAAGGACGGATGGACGGAGCACAGACAATGGGTGATTTGAAAAGTAAAGTAAAAGTAAAAGTGGAAAGTAAAATAAAATTTAGTTATCATGAAACAAGACAAAATCTGGAACCCAATATTATGTTCATTTCAATACAGTATCTTTGAATGTATAATAACATACAATAAATATTACCTTCACTTTCCCCACATATTTTCTTTGTGTACTTATCAATGGTCTTTCCTGCCTCCACATCACACTTAACAAGAATGTCTTGTAATGTACTGTACTCCCCATACTTGATGATTCCTTTCTTCTTCAAGGTTTCGCACAGACCAAACATCTCTTTTACATCACCCATATCTCTGGTCGACAGATACTGCATCATCTTAACTTGGCAGCAAATAGAACGCCATTCTTTTGATTTAAGTGAAAACATTTCACTTAATTCAGATACCATATCTGTATGGTGCTTACGAATGTTTTCCTGACTCTGCAAATAAAAAAGGTTATGTTTAATTATATACAATTCATTTCAGAAAAAGGGTAAGACATTATACGTTAAGGTCGAGGCAGGTTGTGGACATAATATACATTAAGAAACATATCACAGTGAAATCGAGGATTCGAGGGGGGGGGGGTCAGAGAGAAAGGAAAGGGGGGTTGAGGGTATAAATACAGAAACAGAGAATTAAAATTTTTGTACTGATTTGTCAATTTTATTAATATAATCTGAAGAAACACTAGCGTCACCATCAGAGAGTAAGTTTACATCAATAACACCATCATACCATGCTAGATCTGTATTTAATATTCTACGTAAGTTCTGATATAGGGAACAAAAAAAGTAAAAAATGATAAGAATCGTCACAGGAATGCCCACATGGACACTCTGCTTAAGCTATTAGGTTGGCTATAAAAAGATCATAGTTGAGTGGGCTTGCTCGGTTTCTTAGATGACAGTGATGAAGTCAACATTGACTAAATAAAGAACAGTCCTGGTGAACCTTGGTAAGGGAACTTATTATCAGAATATAATCCATCATACATAAATGTGGTTATATACAGGGATAAGGGAACTTTTTATCAGAATATAATCCATCATACATATATGTGGTTATATACAGGGATAAGGGAACTTATTATCAGAATATAATCCATCATACATAAATGTGGTTATATACAGGGATAAGGGAACTTATTATCAGAATATAATCCATCATACATATATGTGGTTATATACAGGGATAAGGGAACTTACTATCAGAATATAATCCATCATACATAAATGTGGTTATATACAGGGATAAGGGAACTTATTATCAGAATATAATCCATCATACATAAATGTGGTTATATACAGGGATAAGGGAACTTATTATCAGAATATAATCCATCATACATAAATGTGGTTATATACAGGGATAAGGGAACTTATTATCAGAATATAATCCATCATACATAAATGTGGTTATATACAGGGATAAGGGAACTTATTATCAGAATATAATCCATCATACATAAATGTGGTTATATACAGGGATAAGGGAACTTATTATCAGAATATAATCCATCATACATAAATGTGGTTATATACAGGGATAAGGGAACTTATTATCAGAATATAATCCATCATACATAAATGTGGTTATATACAGGGATAAGGGAACTTATTATCAGAATATAATCCATCATACATAAATGTGGTTATATACAGGGATAAGGGAACTTATTATCAGAATATAATCCATCATACATAAATGTGGTTATATACAGGGATAAGGGAACTTATTATCAGAATATAATCCATCATACATAAATGTGGTTATATACAGGGATAAGGGAACTTATTATCAGAATATAATCCATCATACATAAATGTGGTTATATACAGGGATAAGGGAACTTATTATCAGAATATAATCCATCATACATAAATGTGGTTATATACAGGGATAAGGGAACTTATTATCAGAATATAATCCATCATACATAAATGTGGTTATATACAGGGATAAGGGAACTTATTATCAGAATATAATCCATCATACATAAATGTGGTTATATACAGGGATAAGGGAACTTATTATCAGAATATAATCCATCATACATAAATGTGGTTATATACAGGGATAAGGGAACTTATTATCAGAATATAATCCATCATACATAAATGTGGTTATATACAGGGATAAGGGAACTTATTATCAGAATATAATCCATCATACATAAATGTGGTTATATACAGGGATAAGGGAACTTATTATCAGAATATAATCCATCATACATAAATGTGGTTATATACAGGGATAAGGGAACTTATTATCAGAATATAATCCATCATACATAAATGTGGTTATATACAGGGATAAGGGAACTTATTATCAGAATATAATCCATCATACATAAATGTGGTTATATACAGGGATAAGGGAACTTATTATCAGAATATAATCCATCATACATAAATGTGGTTATATACAGGGATAAGGGAACTTATTATCAGAATATAATCCATCATACATAAATGTGGTTATATACAGGGATAAGGGAACTTATTATCAGAATATAATCCATCATACATAAATGTGGTTATATACAGGGATAAGGGAACTTATTATCAGAATATAATCCATCATACATAAATGTGGTTATATACAGGGATAAGGGAACTTATTATCAGAATATAATCCATCATACATAAATGTGGTTATATACAGGGATAAGGGAACTTATTATCAGAATATAATCCATCATACATAAATGTGGTTATATACAGGGATAAGGGAACTTATTATCAGAATATAATCCATCATACATAAATGTGGTTATATACAGGGATAAGGGAACTTATTATCAGAATATAATCCATCATACATAAATGTGGTTATATACAGGGATAAGGGAACTTATTATCAGAATATAATCCATCATACATAAATGTGGTTATATACAGGGATAAGGGAACTTATTATCAGAATATAATCCATCATACATAAATGTGGTTATATACAGGGATAAGGGAACTTATTATCAGAATATAATCCATCATACATAAATGTGGTTATATACAGGGATAAGGGAACTTATTATCAGAATATAATCCATCATACATAAATGTGGTTATATACAGGGATAAGGGAACTTATTATCAGAATATAATCCATCATACATAAATGTGGTTATATACAGGGATAAGGGAACTTATTATCAGAATATAATCCATCATACATAAATGTGGTTATATACAGGGATAAGGGAACTTATTATCAGAATATAATCCATCATACATAGGTGTGGTTATATACAGGGATAAGGGAACTTACTATCAGAATATAATCCATCATACATAAATGTGGTTATATACAGGATCCTCAAACATAGTTTAGTAAGATAGTTCTACTTTACATCTGAGTATCTGCATCACTGACCAACTTAAGCTGTCGACTAGAGGTTAGGTGAAGACAATTCACGATGATTTTTATTGGCACGGATAGGAAGGTGATTGTACAAGTTTTAATGGTTTTTGAGAGACCTCACGCAGTTCCAGGTTCAAGTGTTTTATTATTTATGGCCTCCTATATTTTCAAACCTCCGGATGAGTATATTTTCTTTTGACCTTATTCAAAGCAGAGGCAAGTATGTAGGCCACATTGACAGAAGTTCAACTGTAATGTATCAGAATACAGAAGGTGGATTGAAACTATAGTTACAGATTTATTAGTTGGACCAACCACCTGGTCAAACCTGTTTGATTTGGCACATGTACAGGTAACATACCAATTAAGTAATATATCAGGGATCGGTGGCCAGGTTGCAATTATATAATCAAATTGTAAGCACAGCATTATCATGACAATACCTTCATATATGTCAGTGCTGCGACGAGAACGTTCCGTGTTCCATACTGATCTACTTGGGTTGAGGCCTAAAGGTTTTGCTATTATGTGGCATATTTATGTACAAATTTTCTGTCAGAGATGACTACAACGGTCGCACATTATGAGTACTAACCGTTACATAGTTATTAAAAGCTGTCAATTTGAAAATAGATCAGTTTGAGTGAGCTTCGCGAGGCTATTATAGTATGTGAAGTCATACCAGCGGGTCACGAGGCTATGATTAAATCAACTGTTGCTAATGGTTACTATCGGAACACAAAACCATTGATACAGGGAATTCTGTCACGGGGTGGCGATTGCCTGTACCTTAGTCGAAGCTGCGGAAGACATATTTTAGACGAGAGTGTTTAGTCTTAGTAACTACGATGTTACTATATACAAGCACATGCACATGGCATTATTTATACCTGTGAGTAGGATAAAAGAAATTTACCCAGAGGCGAAGGTATTTTTCAAGTGCACCCGACTTCACAAGAATTACCAAAATATTTTTTAAGAAGTCTGCCCGGCCTTCACAGTGAACAGTGCATAGTGTTTAAACAATTCTTATTGCAAAACAAGGCTTTGCCAGACCAGGAGAGGTCAGTTGGACAAATCTGGGGACATGCCAGATAAAACTTACAGACCAGTTGATAAATATCTCCCTACTAGAGTGACAGTACTGTGTGATAAACTTACACTAGCAGTGCTTGGTCGGATCATCCTGCTCGGCCGTGATTGCTCAGGAGTGTCATCTACTGGATGGAAAGAAAAAATATTTCAGAGATATACTAACAAGAGGCCAAAAGGGCCTGCATTGCTCACTCGCTCACCTGATATTAATCTCAAACTTGTAATCTTAAATATGGATTAAAATAAATCTAATGGCAAAATATCAGGATCTATGTCTCTAAGTTATTCAAAAGAACCTGTTTAAAGATTTCAACACATTTGAACCCTGTGATCTTGCAAGTCTAACAAGGTCATTCAATTGATTTTAATTGTTAAATAAGATGAGGTCGTTTAATGGTGTATACACATTTGACCATGTGACCTTGAAAGTTGGTCAAGGTCATTCTTTTGAACAAACTTGATTGCTCTTCATGGGTGACCGTGCTGACCTGTTCTCAAGATGCCTAGTAGGTCTATCGTTTCACTTGATTGGTCACATACTTAATTAATCAATACTAAATGATGTCTATACAACAGTTTGATAACACATGTCCATTTCTGTAAAAACATACCTTTATTTTAAATGAATTGTTCAATTATTTCAATATATTCGTTTGTGATTCGCTGTGTCAACATCACACGTAAATGTAAAATCGTATAAACTAGAATAGGAACACGTGTCTTCACTGTTGTTACATGATCATGATTAACCACATATTGTCATATAATCTTTATAATTTTGTGTGCACATTTTTGATTGAAAATATAATTTTTACATTTTCGTTGTGTATATTTTTCGAGTTGTAGAAATATTCCTTGTATTTATATTCGTGTTTCCATAGCAACAATGAAAGTTTGTACACAACGAACATTTCATGTTATACAGTATGACTATGGTGAAAGTTCATTTATTTGAACAAACTTGAAAGCTATACAACTGAGCCATACCTGCCAACCCTGGACATACTGAAAGAGGGTTATGACCCTTTTTTGAAAATTAAAAAGAGGGTCATAGTGCGCGACGGCTTTTTTCGCAACAAATATAAAAAAAATAGATATTAAATTATAACTTAAATATTTTAATGATGTAAAAGTTACATTCTACATTCATTGAACTGTTCTTCCAGCAGATCTAGCTGATCCTCATCCACAATACCAAATTCAAAGCTGAAAAATAAAAAGATTTGTCAACAACACAAATTATAAAATTAATTCATAATGATAAATATGATACTGTGTTTTCACAGGCATTTTTTTATGTCAATTGAAATGGTCCCGACAATAAGATGTCACATTCTGCTCAAATAAAATACCATTTTGTTTCTGTCAATGAAAATGGTCCTGACAACAAGAAGTTGCACCCTTCTCATATAAAATATCAGTTTTATACGAGTAGGGTTTGAACTCTTATTGTAAGGATCATTTTGATTGACAGAAACAAATCAAATGCCTGTGCATGTTTTTGACTAGAGGGCAGAATGCAGCGTTTGGTCCACGACCACGGGACTTTGTACACTATAACTCATTTTCCTACGACATTTGATATGTGTACAATTATCTTTTCTTTTAGCAATTCGTGTAGTAGAACCTGCAAGTCCCGATAAAAACTTCTTCCTTCAAGAAGACATAACGTTACCTTCAAAATACGATCTATTCTACGTAAATACAACTCAATTATTCGTTAAAAACCTGACTAATAACTTGTCGGCAAGTTCAGTAACAACGTTCTTTATATAAACATTTGTAAAAACAGTTCTAGTACGTATATAAACAACTCACAACTTACCTGTTGGTGAGAAACGGAAACAGGAAATAGATCGTCTTTCTTGTGAAGAAGGATGGAAAAGTCTAGAGAATTCCGAGTGACTTCGGTAACTTCTAATATACGGAAAGATTCCGGGTGAAAACGGGTGAAATTGACGAAATCCGGGTCAAAATCGTAACCCGGCGGGTGAAGTTATAAAAGCGGGTGAAGGGCTAAAATCCCGGGTGTAACCCGACGAAATCGGGTCACTTGGCAGGTATGCTGAGCATGTTACTGACTGAACATCATCACCCTCTACCTTTTGGTTATTCAGGGTAAGTTGCTTAAGATTTTAACATACTTAACCTCGGTGACCTTTAATATAGATGAAGGTCATTCAATTGAATAAACATGATTGACTTCAACAAACCATGTTGCTAGCTAAATATCATCACCCTGGAGTTTTTGGCTATTCAGGTTTTTCAAGCCAACTAACCCCCTGTGACCTTGAAAATGGGTGAAGGTTATTTATTTGAAAAACTTGTTAACGCTCTATCCCAGAATGCTACCGGCTTATTATCATCACCTTAGCCATTTGGTTAAATCCGAAGAAGTTATTATTAAGTTATTAATGTATGTATGACCCCTATAACCTTGAATATGGGTCACGATCATTTGAACAATCTTGGAAGCCCTTCATCCTATTAAATTACTGCCTCAATATCATCACTCTGGTTACTCATAGATTGTTTTAATGGTGGGTTTTTTAAAGACAATTGACCTCTGTGACCTTGCATAATACTGGACAAATTCCATCACCCTAGGTCTTTTCACCATTCAGAAGAAGTTGTTTAAAGATTTGATTATACAAGAATGTATAATGAACCCTGTGACCTGGAACATAGAAAAATGTCGTTCATTTGAACAACCTTGGTAACCATTTATACCAGCACGCTACTGGCTAAATATCCTTACCCTAGGTCCTTTGTTTATCCAGGAGAAGTTGTTCAAAACAAGAGGCCCATAGGGCCTGTATCACCCACCTGGATATCTAAGCAATCATGGCAGAATATTCTCCAAATGAGATCCAAGGGAATATGCCACACCCCAAGGCCAATCCTTGTAGCATATATATCTGTATTCAATTTTTCATGCCCAGCAATTTTATGTATGGTTATGGGGTGGGGATCTCAACTGTTTCCAAGCTGTGACTCAGAAACTAGGTCCCTACGGTTGTGGCCAGACCCCAGGATCAATTCTAATAGCATGACTGCATTTTTCTCTTTTTGCCCAGAATTTGTATATATAGTTTTGGGGTGGGGATTTCAACCGTTTCAAAGTTATGACCCAGGGGTTAAGTCTGCAAGGGTGGGGCAGTCCCCAAGGCCATCCTGGAAGCATATGTGCATTCATCTCTTTATACTCAGCAATTGTATATGTGGTTATATGGTGGGGATCTCAACCATTTCCAGGCAATAAACTTTTTTTGGTCCCACCCCTTAGCCCGGGGGGTCAGCCCCACCATTTGTACAATTTTGAATCCCCACCACCTAGGAATGCTTCCAGTCTAATATGGTTGATATCCATCACTTAGTTCCAGAGAAGAAGTCGCTTTAAAGCAATATAGCCAAATAACCCTTTTTGGCCCCGCTCCTCAGCCCCCTGGGGGGTCAGCCCCACCATTTGTACAATTTTGAATCCCTGCCTCCCATGAATGCTTCCGACCAAATATGATCGATATCCATGGCATAGTTTTACAGAAGAAGTCGTTTATAGCAATCTAGCCAAATAACCCTTTATGGCCCCGCCCCTCAGCCCCCTGGGGGGTCAGCCCCACCATTTGTACAATTTTGATTCCCCACCACCTAAGGATGCTTCCAGTCAAATTTAGTTAAATTCCAATCAGTGGTTAAGAAGAAGAAGTCGTTTAAAGAAATTGTTGACAGACGGACGACGGACGACGGACGGACGGACGACGGACGCCACGGTATGGCATAAGCTCACCTTGGTCCTTTGGACCAGGTGAGCTAATAAAAATTGATGTCGGACGGAATTTGGTCAATTTTATCCTAAAGCAGCATGCATGGTGTGATATCTTCCAAAACTATATAAAATAGTTTTTCCAAATTTAATTGCTGACCTGATACTTACTTAACATATTTCTACTAATGTGTAAAATCATTATAAATGTACTTAATTTCTAAGAGCACAATATATTGTGATACATTGCAAAATAAAAATTGCTTGCACTACCCACCCCTACAGAATATTAGAATCAGACATTTCAGGTATTGCTCAAAGAAATAAAATTTTGTTCCAAGGAAATTATTTTTTAAATTTGGAAAGTTTGATTGACACCGATTCATTACATTCTGATTCAAAGATCAAACTGGCTGTACTTGTATCTTGCTATTAATCAAACAAGACATACATTCTCTGATACATTACCTTCTAAAACAAAGATCATACTGGCTGCACTTGTATCTGGCTATTACTCAAACAAGACATACATTCTCTGATACATTACCTTCTGATACAAAGATCATACTGGCTGCACTTGTATCTGGCTGTTACTCAAACAAGACATACATTTTTTGATACATTATCTACTGATACAAAGATCATACTGGCTACACTTGTATCTGGCTGTTCCTCAAACAAGAAATACATTCTCTGGTACATTACCTCCCGATACAAAGATCATACTGGCTGCACATGTACCTGGCTGGTCCTCAAACAAGACATACATTCTCTGGTACATTACCTCCTGATATAAAGATCATACTGGCTACACTTGTATCTGGCTGGTCCTCAAACAAGACATACATTCTTTGGTACATTACCTCCTGTTACAAAGATCATACTGGCTACACTTGTATCTGGCTGGTCCTCAAACAAGACATACATTCTTTGGTACATTACCTCCTGTTACAAAGATCATACTGGCTGTACTTATATCTGGCTGGTCCTCAAACAAGACATACATTCTCTGGTACATTACCTCCTGATACAAAGATCATACTGGCTGCACTTGTATCTGTCTGTTCCTCAAACAAGACTTGCATTCTCTGGTACATTACCTCCTGATATAAAGATCATATTGGCTGTACTTGTATCTGTCTGTTCCTCAAACAAGACATACATTCTCTGTTACATTACCTCCTGATATAAAGATCATACTGGCTGTACTTATATCTGGCTGGTCCTCAAACAAGACATACATTCTCTGGTACATTACCTCCTGATACAAAGATCATACTGGCTGCACTTGTATCTGTCTGTTCCTCAAACAAGACTTGCATTCTCTGGTACATTACCTCCTGATATAAAGATCATATTGGCTGTACTTGTATCTGTCTGTTCCTCAAACAAGACATACATTATTTGGTACATTACCTTCTGATACAAAGATCATACTGGCTGCACTTGTATCTGTCTGCTCCTCAAACAAGACATTCAATCTCGGGTACATTACCTCCTGATCCAATGATCATACTGGCTGCACTTGTATCTGTCAGTTCCTCAAACAAGACAGACATTCTCTGGTACATTCCCTCCTGATACAAAGATCATTCTGGCTGCACTTGTATCTGGCTGGTCCTCACACAAGACATACATTCTCTTGTACATTACCTTCTGATACAACGATCATACTGGCTGTACTTGTATCTGCCTGGTCCTCAAACAAGACATACATTCTCTGGTACATTACCTTCTGATGTAGAGTTTGACCCGTCTGTATCAGACTGGTCCAGATCCTCAGACAGGACATGTGGGGCTGTAGGTCTCCGGGCCGGTCCTTTCCCTTTTCTCTCTTTACTGTCACCCTTTGGCATGGTTTACTAATGTAATGAAACAAAACAAGAGGGACTATAAAATGAAACAAAGATATCCCAGAGGGATGCTGACATTCACCAATGTTACAAGATCCTACAGATCTTGTTTTTCTACCCTAGTTAAAATCCAAGTTTGATCAAGTCCAGCCTGACATTGTTTTTCTTTCTGTAAATGAATTAATTTAAAGGTCACTAGTAATTGCATCATGCTGTGATTTTTTATACAAATTTTGTACAGAAATGGTAAAAACAAGTTTTTTACTTTCTAAGAGAATAAAATTAATTAATAACCTGAAAGTGTAAAAGAGTCCTTGTTGCTACCTTTCCATTAAAACCTATAAAGCTAAGGTTAAACAAGAGGCCCAATCTTCATTAGATCAAATTTCTCTACCCTAGTTAAAATCCAAGTTTAATCTAGTCCGGCTTGACAAGATCAATATCGATAGTAGTTGTGTGCCCCTGTGCCCCATTGATATCATTCAATACCGTACCCCGAAACCAGACTGAAAATCCCTGGTACGTTATATCCAAACACAATTGTATTGGGATATCAAGTACCCAGCGACTAAAAATCTGACAAGATCAATAATAATAGTGGTTGCGTGCCCCTGTGCTCCATGGTTGTCACTCAATACATGTACCCTGCCGGCGGGCGACACCAGACTTAAGGATAATCGGCCGTTCAAGTCTGGTGTCAGGGCCTGACAAAACTCTGGCGAAATTTAGATACGCATCGCTATGAACCATTGTGAAATTTTAGAAAGACTGCTCCATTACTTTATGTGAAAAGCACTAACAAACACCGCAACACCCAATATTCAAGATGGATAAGTTCAAAATTTTAAAATGCATCACCTACGCGTGAAACATCCCTCCAGTACTTTCTGAACAATAGCGCTATATGTTCAAATTTAGTAGGCAGTCATCGGCGAAAAGGCGCACTTTGAATCTTAATACAAATTCCGGAGAATCATTATAGGCAGAGGATGCCCAACGGCCCTTGGGTAGCTATGCCCAAGCTAAGGGGAGATAATCCAAATTGGTTTTTCAGAGTTGGCGGAAATAGCGTCACAAAAAAGTACATTCCAAAGTACAGTGAATTTAACGTATTTTCCAGTGTTAAATGAGGGTTATCATGGTTGTATTTATATCTTTGATACCCCTTGGTTGTGTACGTACCAAAACAATGATGAAATGGGGCACGGGTAACACGTAAGACTTTCTAAAATAATTTTAAAAAATAACTATTTTCCTTCTGAAGACGGGTACATGCAATAAAACCCTGTCAAAATATAAAGTAATTATCCCTTAAAATATTGATGTTCATATGACAATTTGACACAACCGTTCTTGGTATGAAAATGATGATTTTAACACAAGGGGGTTATATAACGGTAAATGAAAGACGGTGGAAAGACAGATGAACACAAACATTGTTATCAAATTTGAAGGAATTTGGCTAATATTTGCTAGATTTATTAAGCGGAAACTGCAGATGACGTTTTTCGTTATTCAATGGGCCATAACTCCGCTGGGGTCCGCTGAAAGTGGTCATCACACTAGGCCGAGCCCTTAAGGCTTTTAACCATATGACCATGTTTGAAGTAAATCGGTTAACATTTGTTGTAGTAATTGCAAGGAAACGAAGTGCGGCAGATAATGACGTTTTTCATTATTCAAGGGGCCATAACTCTGCCAAATGGAGTCCGCTGAAAGTGGTCATCGAACTTGGCCAAGCCCTTAAGGAGGATAGAAAATACTAATAAAACATTCCACATCCTTCCAAAATATGGTTGGGCATATAGCTATCTGGGGTACAGCAGGTTCAACTCTGACTGGTGATGAATGAATTCCTTCTACCTGTGTGAATCAATCAAACCAGGGATCCCTGTCTAGTGGGGGTTAGTTGCTTATTTATCTTTGATGACAGTTGGTATAAACATTTAACAGCCACATAAGAGCTGTTTTATCATTACAGAATATGAAAACCAGATGCATGATTTACCAAAACGGAAACGTAACTTGTAGCTATAAAATCGAAACCAGGCACTGGCACTAAATACGGAAATATAACTTTTTCACAATGAGGCAATCTATTCACAATAAGATTCATGAAAGATGAAAATTGAATTGGTTGCTATTGTTTTTGATGATTTAAAAATATTTTTTTACAACCCATATTTTTTTAAACTGGATTAAGAAAAAAATGATATCATACTGATAATAATAATAATGGAAATGTTGTGTTTTTATTTTATTTTAAAAGTCGATAACTGTATCATGTCATGTTCAAACCTCCCTAAAAATTCCTGAAAATAACGACGATAAATCTCCCCTGTGGTTTATAGTAAGTAAGTATAGACAGAAAAAATATAAATGAGATACTACTATGCTAAATGCAGTATTTTATTTGTTTTAAATGTTTCACTAATCTAGCACTTCCTTATTCAGAGAAAAAAATCTCACTAGTTTTGACCTAAACCACGGACTTATTTCAACTGATCTCAATATTGTGCACTGGAAAGTTTTGACATGTAGGCCATAAAACATACCTTTATCAATTAGTGTTAGAAAATGAGTTTATAATATATCAAAAGTGAATCTTTTTTTTTACTAGAAAAATATGTTTAATAGATCTATGTGAATATTAGAAGATTAATTTAGAAGTTTTAACATATTTCTAATATTAATTAGGACCTGTTCTCACTATGACTTGCCATTGTAATCCCAGACTTAAAGGGACATCACGTGAAGAGCCATTTTTTAAAAAATGAATGTATGTATTGTATGCACTTCCACTTATGTTACCTCGCTATCCCCATATTCATAGTCCGTTCCAAATGTCCAGTTTGACCACTTGAATTGTTCGGGAAAGCCCTGCTAAAAATAGTGCCGATAACGTCACCTGACTAGGCAGTAAACACAAGTGGTCTGAGCGAGATGAAACAGTTTCCAAAGGGGCCCCCAGAGAGGGGCCGCCAGGCAACTGCAACTTCTTACCGCACTATGAAACCAAGTAATATGATTTCTAAGCCCGTATTCAAACTTATTGAACAGTAATTATTCATCATCAGAAGTTAATTCCACACTTGCCAATATTCAGTATTTAAATGTATTTAGCTTTAAACATATATTTGTTGCCAATAAAATTGAACAAGGGATGGGGGCACACGCTTTTACAATTTATCACAGCCTTCTCCCGTCATACATTTACAATTAAATGTCAACAATGATAATAGGCATAAACATGAAGTAGATATATATAAATATACCGGTATATTGAATTTAGTACCGGAATGTGACCGGTACAGATGGTACGGGGCTAAACACCTTCCCTCAACCATGGGACAAACCTTTCTGTAAAAAGGAATATTCACGAGACGAATATTCCTTTTCAAATGTTTACATAAAGTGCATTTATGCAATGACAAACTACACGCGAATAAAAAAGGAAATGTTTGTGAATTTATTTATTACATTATACAACTCAATGTCTTTGGCCAAATTTTTTTTCTAGACCATGCATATAAATGTATGTTTACTCTCTTTCCCACTTTCACTGTCTCCATACGCTAACACTTAGTAAGTCATATTAGCCATCACACACACTAAACTGTATGGCAAAACCACTACGTGTACATGTAGAATATGTGTCAGATATGTAAAGTGTTGAGATACTTGATAATTATATTTTATCAATACGTTACAGAGATTAAAGAATACTTGTAAATAGACCTTTTTATGTTGAGACAACTTTTCTTTAATCAGTTCCTTTTGTCCGAAACAGAAGCCGTAGTTATCGGCAGCACGCGCCATTTTTACAACGAATCAAATATTTGTTCCCCTGTTTTCAATATGTATTCCGATTCTATCTGAAGTCGAAAATTAAGTCTTTATAGAGAAAAGGTTGTTACATGATCATACATTCTAAGTCAACATCAAATGAAAACATGAACTGTTGAAAAAATACGATTTGAACAAAAAATGTTATGCGATCCTATTTACTAGAAGTAGGTTCTCCTTCCTCAATTATTCATACTGGTCCGTCATTTTGACATTTTTAATCTAGCTGCGATAACGTCGCTTTCTGACGAAGAGCGATTTTTGTAATATATTGCGTCGTCGCGCCAGAGGAGGCCGGGTATTCATATTAGTACTAATTTAAATCTTAAATGTCAAAACAAAACAAAATCGTTTAATTCAGCAATATAATTAAATCATACCATTTTACTGATCCTGGTAATATTATAAATTATGTAAATCCACGGACTTGGATCTAATCTAATTCCGTGGTAAATCTAATAGCGCACGCGTATCTCATTTGACCCCGATCACGAGTACCCACACAGGAGAGAACAGAATACGCCGTGGCCATCACAACAGTTATCCCTTGGAGGGCCTCTTGGCAAAATCAAACTAACCAGTCCTTTCGCATAAACCACTGTATAATTATAAAACAAAGTGAACTCTCTCCGATACATGCCCATTAACATATTAAACTAATTATATATATAAGTTCATCTGTGTTCAAACTCACACAATGACACTAGCGTGATTAATAGTTTTAGATATTTATTCATAACATAAACAGCGCTAGCACACTTAGACTATTTGCAGATGACAGCATAATATACAAGACAATAAACAACAAAGAAGACACATTAAAACTACAACACAACCTCGATGCAGCAGGACAATGGGAGACAGACTGGTTAATGCAATTTCACCCCGACAAATGTAACATACTTAACATTACACCGAAACGCAACAAAATACACCATGATTACAAACTCCACAACCACACATTACACAAAGTAGAAACAAGCAAATACTTAGGACTAACACTACAAAACAACCTACGATGGGACAAACACTTAAACAATATCACAGCCAATGCCAATAGGTCCCTAGGTTTTCTCAAACGCAACCTGAAAATAAACTCACCACATATAAAAGAACATGCATACAAAGCACTAGTTAGGCCTAAACTTGAATACTGCTCTTCCATTTGGGATCCACACAACACAAACCAAATTAAACAAATAGAAAAAACACAACGAAGAGCAGCACGCTACGTACAAAACAGATACCACAACACTAGTTCCGTAACAGACATGATCCACACACTTCAATGGCCAACACTACAACACGACGCTTATACACTAGAATTATCCTTTTTAACAAAATTATACACAGAATCGTAGCTTTAAACCCAACACATATACACCTGTAGACCCCCGCACCAGACAGGTACACCCGTACGCATACAAACACATATCTGCTACAAAGGACACATACAAATACTCATTCTTCCCACACACAGTAACACAATGGAATCTCCTCCCCTTAGCAGCAGTCCAATGCACAACACTAGAGGACTTCAAGGCACTATTACCCTACACAGCCCTTGAAGCCCTCATCACACACTAGTACATACACCAGATTTTAACTTTTTATCTATACCTTGCACAAAAAAAATACAAAAAAACCACCCCATAATCACTATAAATAACCCCTTCACGCCTCTACAATAGGACCCCCGATGGCATAATCATCAAACTGATGGAGCCCTCGTATAAAGAAGAAGAAGCATTTCTGTCGATTTCATTTCAGCTTAACCGGCTATCCGGAAGAATACATGCACCGTACTAACTGCTAGGGCAGTTATTTTCTCCTTTGAATACTTCCCACCTGTAATAATGATTCCGTAACGTACCCCCTGCACTATCTTTTGACCATTTGGCAACTTTTTGCTTCGTAGCTGACACGGTACAACACTTTTCTTTCGCTTACTTCACACGGCCAGTCATTTTGTTTACAAAGAAATGGTGCGCATGCGCTAGTAGAGGGAAATCCCTGAACAAAACGTTTGTCAGCTGACAGGTAGAAATACCGATGATTATCTTAGATTTAATCATTTTTATAAATCTATTTCAGTCAAATCCGATCGTTATTTTCCATAAGGAGTCTCACTTGATATGTTTATGTAGTATTTGAAAAAAAAGACAAAACAAAAAAAGTTACTTTAGCGTGATGCCCCTTTAACTTTCGCTTTCATTTTTAAAAAGTTATAACTGGAACTATTTAAAATGGCTTCCATTGTACGTATTATGTTGTGTATATCCACGGACTTGGATAATCTAATTCCGTGGTATATCGTGTAATTACGGTTTGAGACGGTAGAACGTGATACCCGGACAAAACATCACGACAGATCAGGGCAGTGTAATACCAACCAATGACGTCATGATTATATATGGCGTCCCTGAAAACAGACAACACGTACAGATCACATTTATAGTGGTTTTGATAATAAGATCTCGTTTTTCTTGATTAAATATATACAAACTACGAATCAGTTTACATATTTTATCATATCTACTTGACTTACTTGTTGATGATTTTACACCTTTGTTTTGACAATCTTCAGGTTTTTATGCTCGTCCGCTCAACACGTCTTTCACCACACTGAATTCGGCTAGAAAAAAGGAAGTATATTAGTACAATGTAGCTAAGTCGGATATGGCGTCCCTAAATCATGAATATTCATTAGATGCATTCGACCCTTACGTAATCTAATTTTAACATGTCTTTATCTCGGATTCAATATATTCTATGGTCTGTTTAAATAACCCTCTTGACAAAGGCACATTTTCGGTGACATATTTTGCTCATGATCTTGTCCTACAATTCATACTGGACTCATTACCTGCCTGTTAAACAGTTTTTTAAACGGAGACATCTTTTGTGTTTCTATCACTGTTAAATAAATAAAAGAAGTCTTCCATTCATCTTTCATACCACATTTATACCTATTTACTGTATAGGTTCCTGAAATAGCGATCGCCGAATTTAAGCGAGGCAATTCAAATTATTAAAGATCATGACATGCTTGTGATCATAGACATGTTTTCGGTATACGATCATCATTACGAAGGTGGGTACAAAACAATAAGTGTATTAATAGATCAACCTGCATTACGTATACGAACTTGAAATATTCCAGAAATGAAACCTCAAAGCACATTAAAATATAACGAATCAGTGCGGTTATCACGGCCCGAGGTCGACAATGTCACAGATTATGTCAATAATTAACTCACGGATCTTCTTTGACACATGGTTTATATATTTTTTCATAATTCAATGATTTATAAATACAAAACACACATTAACGAAAACATTTGTGTTTTTAAACATAATATAAACAATGATTGTAAATAGCACCTTTGGACATGCTAGTGTATTTAATAGCGACCAGACTGTATCGATAATAGCGACCAGACTGTAAGTTAATAGCGACCAGACTGTATGGATAATAGCGACCAGACTGTATGGATAATAGCGACCAGACTGTATGGATAATAGCGACCAGACTGTATG